CTGTAATGAGGAACTCCACAGCATAAGTGAAGAGCTGTCTCCTCTTCAGGACCCACTACCTCTTTGCTTCATTTTATGATATTTTAGTTTTGTATCAGCAGAGACAATGAATAACTGTTGCTAATTCACTTTCTCAATGACACTTATGATTTCACATGTTCATCTTTACTATCTTGAACAAAACTTTCTCAGCTGATTTTACTGAAAGTTTACTCAAGTTATATTTAAGGATGGGCAACAAAAAGATGCAGAAGGAGAAGTGGTCTTGTACAAACTTACTGTGAGCGACTGGCAAGTACTTGGCAGCAAGCAGCTGCCCAGCACCTCTACTCTGCTAACCAAGCTCTCTGGAGGACTGAATCTGCCCCAGCTTGCCCTGGTGCAGATCTCCCTCCTATTACTGAGGAGATGGAAGCATGAATTACAAAGCTTTAGGAGCTCAAGCAAGTTCCCTCTTCAGAGCAAGACAGGCAGGTTAAAAGTTAATTTTTGAATTCAGCTTCCTGGTCTGCTTGGGAGTAATTAAAGAAATTAACCTGTGCCTTAGTTCTCCAGGAATGAAAGAGGAATAATAACTCTCCTTCCACTAATGGCTTTCAAGCACTCTGATACCAGAGCAACAAATACCATGTAAGCATCCTCATTTTACTATGGGAGCATGTTCTGTACTTCTTAGCGTTGTTATCTGTGGCTCAGGTAGATGTTTGTTTTCAGACAAGTCTTTACTTCAAGAATTTCTCCTGTTCCCAATAGAAATCCTGATAGCTTGTTCTCGCCCTCCTGTCTTTTCCAGCATTAATGCTATTGTATTTGTTTAACGAGGTTAATATGCTGCTGGTATAATAATGATCATGTATGGATGTAATTATTATGTGTGATTAATCCTGCAGCTCCTAAAAAGACTGGAGGACTTTTTTTAGGTGAGGGAATCTCTTTGCAATAGTCCTTCTCAAATTGTGTTACACACAGACGTAACCCCCAAAAGACATGCAGAAGGGGAAAGAACAAAGGCTGGATTAGAGGAGAGGGAGCTGTATCCAGCAGAGCAGCTGACAAAGGCAGAGACCACCCCTCTCTTGTGTGTCCATACACTGATTGGTTCAAATGATTCCTGGTCCTACAATCCCAAGGTACTACTACCATGCACATAGTATGTAACTGGTTATAAATTTTTAAAGACACGTCTGCCAGTGGTGTAGGCTTTTCTTGTTACTCTTTTTATAATAAACATTCTTTAAATGAACACACTGGGTTTTGTTCTAAGAAGATACAATACCACAGACCAAAACATGAAGCTAGCTACAAAATGCTAGCATAGGTTAATGATTTTTACAAGGACCAAAGAGAATGAGGTACACAGCACACCACAAGCCATTAGCACTAAAATACCGAGGGTGTCCACATCTGACAAAACTGTAGATGCTTTTCTGCATGAGGCTTTTTGGCACACACTGATAATTTATGGTCCGATGCTGCAGCCATACTCTTGAGTGCTCTTAAGTGCTCTGAGTGATAATGGATCTACTCGCATGATCAGGGACTGTAGACTCAGGTCTATAACTCAGCATGTTCCCCAAAACAATAATGGGACACTTATCCTTGACCAAACTATCCTTAAAGCCCACATACATGACCTGATAAGTCTCTGTAAGCCGTCCAGCTGTTTTCTAACCCAGTTATTACCCATGACTGATATTTACCTGACTCAATTTAAAGGTCTAAGTGAAGGAGATGTGCCCAGGAAAAACTGAGACGTGCACAATCTTCCTTTTCTTCTCCAGAAAACCATCTGGTTTAGCCTCTGCAGTCTTTAACACCTAAGATCACCAGTGGTCCAGTCTGGTTCCTTCTTCTGCACGCAGTGAAATCCCTGTGCAATCGCACATGCTGCAGGAGATGCTGAGCTCACCTGTGCAGGACCACGGCTGGCAGAGAAAAGAGTCAAGGTGGGCAAAAAGTATAGCTGGAGAATTTGCTGTCGTGCAAGACTCTCCTGTCATTCCCCATACTGGTACTGCAAAGGCTTCTGTGCATGCAGGGCTGGGAATGGAGATGGATTCTGCCCATTGACTTCTCAGTCTTACCACAAACAGATGCCCTGAATAGCAGTTTGGGGTTGGTATTGAAGTGTCCCAAAGCGCTATTGTATCTGAAATCCCCATGATACTTTAAAGAAATAAATCACTCCCTCTGAGCCTCAAACAACAGAACTGCAGATAGGATGTATTTGAGAAAACACGAGGGCTATTTGCTCACCCTCCAGGAAGGGAGACAGTTGTATTGTCACCTAGTGAAGGACTTATCGAGCATCTCATTGAGCCACCAACGTAACGTGTTTCAGATGGTTAACGATCGGACCTCACAGCACTCCTCTGCAGTGCCTGCAGGAGTTATCAGTGAAATTCTACTCCGGCATCTGAGACAAGTGCTGGGTTTCTTCCTTCTTTTTAACTTCTCTCAGTTTCTGCTTCACTGGCTTTTTCTTTTCTCACCACACTACTGGGAACTTTATAGGTGCAGAAGAACAACGCAGGAGCAACAAGTTACTTGGAATAGAAGCAGATTGTGACAGGTTCAGAATTTGCCTGTAATTATGTATGAATTTCGGTGTTTCTCCTAAAATCTGATCTAACGCTGAGAGACACTGGTTTGTCAATGCTAAAGTTGATCTGGATACAGAAAGGATGCAAAGAAACAGCTCAAGATAACCTCAACAGCAAAGATGAAAGAACTATTACGAAACAATGTCAGGATTATTAGTTTGGGTGGCTGACAGAAGACTTTATCCAGCTTATCAAACTGATTAAACTAGGTTTATCCAAAGCCCTACAAACACAGAAATGGAAAATTCAGGCAGAATTCAAAATGAAAGGTTCCTCAAAGAACATCTCCTTTTCCCATACCCTGCTCCTCTTCTCATCTCATCAACAAATGCAAAACGTTCTTCAGGTTTAAAGATGCTGCCAACCAAGCTACTGCACTCCTGTGTGCCCATCAGCTAAAAAAGCTGAATGGGACATCTAATCAAGGCAGCTAAACCTTCCCATGCTGAAAGCTAACCTGTGCACACACAGCTAATCTGCCAAACCCCATCCCACCAGAGACTCAGGACAGACACAGCTCCCCAGTGCTCACAGACGAGTTACAGAGTTGCTCAGCTTACTGCAACACACAGAGCTATACAACATGCACTCAGAAAGACATGTGTTAGAAGAATGACAGAAAATGTCAGCAATTTGGTCATGATGTTGCAGGTAGTAAGCTGGAAGGTAATTATTTGAGTTCTATGCAGTGCCCCAGTTTTGGGCAACATGGCGTAGTGGAGGATTTCCCTGCGCATGGCAGGGGGGTTGGAACTAGATGATCTTTGAGGTCCCTTCCAACCCTAACCATTCTATGATTCTAACACTTTTCATTTATGGGAAAAGAGCCGGCATTACAGATGCCTGACACAGTCAGATACACGAAAACTTATGCAGGGCCTCATTTAAGAACAGAAGTGCTGCATAATCCACATCTTCAGGCAGCAATACCACAGGTAGATACATGAAAACTTGTCAGAAAAAAATGCAGCAAATTAACTTGGACCTATACTGGGACTACTTTAATTTCATTTCTGAGAATAAAGCTTTAGGATGTATCTACACTGCAGCATATATAAACACAGGCAAGCTTGCTTGCTAGAGCATGTGGTAAGACTCTTGTCTTAGCCTACCTTTGCTTTAAATTACTAAAAAGGTCCCAGCTTGAAATCTTTTAATAAAACATGTACATGCAAACAAGAACATGTCTTTAAGTAACTCCCATGGAGACCTATGTTGCCACGGCTAACACAAGACTAGTTAGGGCTACAAGGACTGGGGTCATGTGTTTTACTGTAGCGTAGACTTGCCCTTAATTCTCGAGGGACTGACGGATGACACAGATTATTTCTGTAATATACTGAAGTATAGTTTAGTTTTCACATCCATATACTGAAGTATTGCACAAATATTTTGCTAGCTCTGGGCCAAAGAGCACAGCATCTTGCAAAAGCAACCTTAGCATCTTGCAAGCTGGAGATACTGTGTCAAATCCAGTGAATGCAAGGAACTGTCAAAGGTTACTACCTTGACGGGCAGGCGACCACATGACAAAAAGCAAACACACCCACAAACAAAAAAATGTTATATTTCACATTGCCATTTGTTGCTGGTTTCATACAGGAAGCAAAAGAACAATAGGAGATGAATACAGCACTGCCATTCAACCCCTGAACGAGGCACCTCAGCAGCAAAGCAGGGAACACCATGTGTTATGACTGCATGACCCCATCCATTCCATGGACATCAGCACTGTCCATCCACTATCCTTCTCAAGGACCAACTACAGCTCAAGCACTAACTAAGCCTACTGTAAGGCAACTTCCATTTTTTCCTTTAGGTACTGGAGGAAGGGAACTCAACTGTTGTGACTCAGAAGAACATCCTTCAAATCTTCTTTCTGCAGAAGATTTTCTTGGGCGGCAGCAGAAAATTCACAGCAGCAGCATCCCCGAAGGGCCCAAAGCGCCAGGTCACCTGGCGCTCGGCAGCGCAGCAAGGGGACTAAACAAAGTACAGCCCTGGGAAACGCTTAATGGCACTAGGCAGGGCCTCTGCACGTCACATGGCAACGTATAATCACTTGAAAAGTGCTTCTTTCTTTTTATGGATCTGCTGAGAATTACTCTGCGCTTTGGGTATAATAGCGCTTTTGTCATAATCAGATGTTGTAAAGGTATATGCAATAAAAGAGACATTCAGGTATTACTGTCCCATCAGCTGTGTCTTCATATGATTGCCTCCAATTACACTCTAAAATTTACCGGCACATATATTTGAAATAATGCTTTTAATTTTCAAGCAGGTACTCTGTAAGGACACCCAGCTCAGAAATGACATAATTGAATATCTTGAGCCAGAAAATAAAATGTAAATTTTGACTCAATGGTGTTATTTAATAGCAGTGAAAGTACTCACCAGGTGGCCTATTAATTGCGAGGTTTCGGAAATGACTGCCTTTGATCATCTCCACTGACAGCCGCCCCGTAGTGGCATTGTACGACAATCCCACGAGCAGCTCTGGCACCCCTCCATGCGACAGGGACTGTGTTGAAGAAGCGCTATCACTGTGAGAGATTGCTGACAGACTCAGCTGAGAGTCTGCA